AGCGAAACTATTAAAAAAAAATCAGAATCATGCCACTTACAAAACAACCCTAGCAACGTACCAACATGACAAAATTACTAATAAAAAACCCTGAGTCTCTTATATTCTACCAAATTCTTGACCCTGGTTTAGACCCAGATATAATAGAAGTCTACAGTATTTATCATTTCAATTACAAACAATGGAGACCAAAATATCCTTTTTTTTCAGATTTGCGCTTATTGTCCATTAATTGACTAGAAAAACAATTGTTTAAACACAACAAAACAGAACTGAAATTGTTGTAAATAGTTTGGTTAATTCATTATTCAAATTTTTCAGATATAATAATCATTAAATAGTATAATAAAGGCCATTAAGGTTTAAATTTGAGGGATATTTGCACCATTTTTAGCAAACGCAATTGATTTAATGTATAACAAATAAGCCATATTTGTTCATATGTAAATAAGTAAATAAGTATTTAAGCTACTTTAAATCAGCATTTTATCTATGGATTGTCTATCACCTGTGAATTTATTAAATCTTAAAAATTTATAATAAAAAAAAAACTCTTGTAAAATTGCATATTATGCCACTTAAAAAAGATAAAACTACTCGAAATAATACTATTGAGAAAGCCCTTGAGGCTATAAAGAACTCCTCAAATAATCCTAAAGCTCCAAGTATAAGGAGTATCGCACAAGACTTTGATATTCCGAAATCAACCCTTAGACGTGTCATTCGAAACAATGGTCCTCTCAAATGTCCAAGTCCTAATAAAGTTTTAACTGACTATGAAGAAGAGCAACTAGTTAGTTATTGCTTAAATATGCAGAGACTTGGTTTCAGATTGTCAAGGTCTAATGTGAATCATTGTGTGATGGAAATTGTTCGTAGAGATGGATGACTATATTCTTTTAACGAGAATAGACCAGGCCAAGCATAGTAGAAACGGTTTCTAAAAGATCACTCTGAACTTTCATTTCGCATCCCACAGGTTCTAAATGAAGCACATGCCCAAAAAGCAAATCCTATTATAATCAATGACTATTTTAACAAACTTCAAAAAATTCTTACTGAATATTCGCTCACCCCCGATCGTATCTGGAATATGGACGAGACAGGTTCTTTTTTTTTTTTTGAATTCGGGTCTTAAACCTGGGCGAGATTATATCTAATAATTATATACGAGATAGGTTTTATTATTGAGCCTAAACTTCAAAAAGTTATTGCAAAAAAAGGTGCATATCAGGTTCATCGAGTTTCATACGGCAGCAATCATGAATACATCTCTGTATGCCTAACTATTTCAGCTGCCAGAACGTATATACCTCCATTAATAATATACAAAGGAAAGCGAATGATCCCAGGCCTTTTAGATAGCGCTTCTGCTGGCACCATTATGGGGTTTACCAATATGGGATATATGCGGGAGAACCTATTTAGAAAATACATAGAGCATTTTGTTAATTCTATTCCTTCAATTCATCCTGTTTTACTAATCCTTAATAGACACAAAAGTTATATCAATTATACTTGTATCAATTTCTGTTATAAAAATAACATCCTTCTTTACGCTCTTCCACCACATACTACCCATATTCTACAACCTGCTGAATTATCATTTGCTCAATTTAAAAAAACATATAATGGCGAATATGACAAATTCTTTACTAATAGCAAGAAGCTAGTAACAAAATATATATTCACTAAACTCTTTGGACAGGCCTATATTAAAACATACACCCCAATCGCTATATGTAATGCTTTCAAGACAACAGAAATATGGCCCTTTAATCCTAATGCTATTAGTCCTAGTTGTTTGGAGCCCTAAATGGCAACACATAGATTCGACCTACCAAGTCCTGAACAATCCACTCACCTGCTTGTTACACTAACTTCTTCTTCTTCACCTAGCTACGTTTCAAGTTACCTCGGCCCGATCTCTACAAATAAAGAACTACGGTCAGAGATAGATGCATTCAATAAAAGAGTTAAACATTTGGAAACAGAACTAAAGCTCTTTAAAAATCCTGATACCAGTTCTTTGCGGCTGGTGTTTAAGTATCCTTCACACCATCATTCGAAGCAGACGGCAGATCTGGAGGCAGATAGAGAGCAACCCGAAACTCAGCAACCCAAGAAAAAATGAAAGACTATGCCTTTTGCTCAGCTCCTTACTAATAAAGAGTCCTTACGTTTGTTGAGGGAAGTGGAGAAGGAGGCGGAAAGAGTGGCCAACAAAAAAAAAGAAAAAAAAGAAGTGGCCATCCAGAAACAAATAGTACGAGAGACGGAAAAGGTGCAGAAACAAAAAATTCGCAGTCAAAAAAAAAAGGAAAAGGAACGTTTAAAGATAGATCAATAGCGTATTAGAGAGGAAAAGTGGCTTGAAAAAAAAAAAAAAGTAATTAAAAAAAAATCTACCTGATTATCTATGTGTACCATTTTTGGTTATTACCTTGAAGATCCCAATTTTTGAAAGAATTTTTTGTATCTTATAAAAAGTCTTTTTTTCTAATAAAAAAAAATTTTTTTTTAAAAAACTTATATTTCAAGTTAAAATATACCTATTTCAATATAATTTAATAAAAGTTTAAGACAATTTGAAAAAGTTGTCTTATTGGTATATTTAACTGTGCTATAATACCCATACTCATCTTATATATCAGCAAAACGTTTTTCAAAGATTTCTCAAGAACTACAGGCTGATTTTAATGTTTTTACTACTATTAAATACATCTTGATGAGCTCTACAACTTTTATTAGAAACCCAAGAGTGATTTACTTAGTAAAAAAAAAGTTTTCTTTATATTTTTTAAAAAAATCTCTACATTTACTATTTGAAGCAGGGGGATATTCGTATCTGATAAATTCCAGGATCGATATTATACAAATATTTATATAGCTTAGTACTGTAAAATCGAAATTTTTGTGTATAATCAAACTTATAAAGAAAACAAGTATCGGCATAATGTTTCACTAATTAAATATCTTCGTGGCGAACGTTTCTACAGAAAAATCAAATTGAATCGTGTTGAATCACGCTATAAGGTGTAGGCCTATTACAGTATTATAAGTAAAAATATTATATACATTTTTAAATAGAAGTTTATTGATATTCTAACTCACCGAAATATTCTTTTTTTCTAGATTCTTTTATTAAATTCGAAACCCCAGATAGATATTTTGTTTAATTAGTTGTTCTTTCTTTCCAAGTTAAAAATTTAGAAGCAGGTTTTTAGGTAAATTTAGTTTTTTTTACTATTATTTTTTTTGTATTTAATTTTAGTGCAAAAACAATCATTTTTGACTGCTTGACCTATTTTTATTGACCTACCCTAAAAAAGATTCATATCATTTTTAACCTACATAATACTATACGACAATAATTGTATTATAGCATATCTCAAATTTGATAAAGAAAAAAAATTATATAGCAGCATTGTCATATTACATATGTTATATTCAAGTCCTTGTTTTATTGCTCAATTAACTCGTTCTCGACTTTAAATTTTGTAACAGATGTTTTGTGTAGAGGAAGTGAATATAAACCGAGTTGGTGAAAAGTAACTAAACAGTACCCCATTTTTACCATCTTTGCTAATATTTAATTTATTATTTTTTAATTTATTACGATGATTACTAAATATTAAAATGATAATTAGTATGATTAAAAAAAGATTCTGTTTATAACTTTTCACAAACTCGGGTAATAAATTAAATATTAGCAGAGATAATAAAAATAGGGTCCTGTTTAGTTACTTTTCACCAACCCGGAATAATATTCAATAGCTTGCCCAAATAATAACTGAACACTACTATTATTACCAATATGAAAAGAAGGAGAAGCCATCTTACGTGGAGAATTAATATGGTTTTGAATTGTTTTTCTATATTTTATTTTACAGTTTCAAATGATAGCCATTCTTATTAGAGTTTAACTTAGAGATGTTTTTTGCTATGGTGCGGTATGTATTTAATACCATGATTTAACAACAATTATATGGTACTCTCAAGAGTTATGATTTACAGTATATATTTCATTATCTTTATCATTTTCATTTCACATTCATATTTAACTTATACAAACTTTAATATACTTTTAGTTTAATTACAGATTATGCAATAATGGTCATGATCACTCATATGATCATAGAACATCACATAAGTTAAAATATAATTTTTTTTTTTAGGTGAGTCAATGAAAATGGTTTTTGCAATTTTGGTTTATTTTTCTAGTTTACTGACTACTAAAATTTCTAGTTTTCTGGGATTATAAACATATGATCAAATGGATAGATTAAAAAATTGAAAAAGCATTGGTTCTGCATTTTTTATGACATGGTTGGATGGTATACAAAAATTAAAAAAATTAAAAAAACTGATGCCAAAAGAGTCTGTAAACCATCTAGCATATACGCTTAAGACATTTAAGGTTTTTTAAAAGTAAGTTAATTATTTTTTGCGCGATTTATTAACTATATATTAAACTGACTATATAGTATAAAATATACACTTCAGGTAGCAAGCTTAAAATATAGAGTTTTTGCCTTAAAAATTACCTTCTGACATTTCCAATCAGGTTATTTTGGACAAAAATAAATTTGAGTACCGGTTCGTTCAGATATTACTCTTATTGATTTAATATGAATATGAACCGGTACTCGGGTTTATTTTTGTTCAAATTAACCTGATCAGAAATGTTAGAAGGTGATTTTCAAGACAAAAGACCCCATATATGGTTTGATACAAAACACAAAAACAAACAAATACTGATAGTACTTTAATATGCAAATAATGAAAGCTTTCATAAGCTTTTAAGAGAATATTTTTATGATCTTACCTGAAAATCTAAAAACTATTTTATCAGATTTATTGTATATATATATATATGTATGTTTTTTTTTTTAATTTTTTCGCTTTTTTTTACTAATCAATTTTCTTTTTTTTTTGCAGCACTATTTTATCATTGGTATCAAAGCTGGTATCATTATTGGTATCATAATTATCTTTGCTTCACTTGTGTAGTTGTTTTTGTGTTTCGCTCGTGTCATTGGTGCATTCGATTGTTCTGATATCTGTTCTGATTCTTTTTAAGATAGGTTTTTCTATTCTATATCTAGTTTTTTTTTTGCTTGTGAATATACTAACAGCTTTCTTTTTCTGAATAATAGATCTTGCTAATTTTGTCATGTTGGTACGTTGCTAGGGTTGTTTTGTAAGTGGCATGATTCTGATTTTTTTTTAATAGTTTCGCT